ACTCTCGCGCGAACAGGCAGCCTAGGAGCGGCTCCCAGGCAGCGAGGACCCCGGTGGCTCTCAGGACCCAGACTTGCGTGGCGAGCAGCTCCACGTGACCACTAGGGGCCAGCTGAAGAATAGGAGTGGCTTGAAGCAGGGACAGAGCCCGACGTGGTGCATGGAGGCTGTCAAGCTCGCGCTTGCCAGTCTAGGTGGGCTGGGACCTTCAAAAAGAAAGGTGCGCTGCTAGCCACTGAGAAGCCCTGGTTTCAGTACCGAGAAAACTACATCTCCCAGGAAGCACCGCAGCACCACACAGATTCTTTGGTAGTAACTACACGTTTTAAGATGTCCTGGGACCTGTAGTTTGTCAGCTTCTCCAACTCCCCTTTTACACATTTAACAGGGAAACCATACTGTACGTCTTAAAAGAATCCGACCTTAGGCTTCTACGCTGCCACAGCAAAGACATAACACTGCCCAGGAGAGACATAATTATACTCCTTCAAAATCCTTAACTTTGGACTCCAGAGCTTTACTTTGATTTCTAGGTGTAAATTTGAAAGCCTTAGTGTTTTTTACCAGTAGTAACGCCAACACAAAGGAGATGAGGGCTGAAGTCAGAGAACCACACACTGGCACGTTTCTAATGAGATAGATGACACATAATAATATTTTTGGTTTTATTTTATAAAACATGCAGTTTAAAACAAAATTTTTAAAAAATAACAAGAAAACAAGACTTGGGACAGGAGAGTGGATGGAAGACAGATGCTTCTCAGCTGTCAGCAGGAGTGAAGCCAACAGCCAAGCTTGGTCTAGGACCCAAAGGCCCTTTTGGCAATGATGATGTTGGCAACACTGGTTTGCTGGGGCCACCAAGACCCTAAATGTTGGCCCCTCCAGGCATCCCTCAGGCAGAGACTTGAGCTAGGTCTTGAACTATTGTTGTATCATGTCATTGTCTGGGACTTCAGTACTTACTAAGTAGGAACTGAAAAGTTTTGGTTCCAGGAGCTTCTTTGCCTGAGTTAACTACCCAGGATATTTATTAAGAATGCTAATTATTTTCCATCTGGGTCAATTCTAGACTGTTTCTCGCCCACTATTCTGCAAAGGATGAAAAAGGAATCTGGCTCCTAGACCCTTTGCAACAATTCTGCTGCATTCCAGTTCTATTAATAGCACCATCTGTAGACCCTGAGCAGGTCCAATTCTGGAAGTAGACAGGGTATAGCCAACTTGGGAAGCCATCTCCCAGTTCTTGGGCCACAGAACATTGAAGGGAGAGGGAGTTGTTCATTGGGAGACGATGAGGTCAGAGCGGCAGCACTGAGGAGAAGACAGCTGCATCTGTCAAGAGGCAAAACCAAAAGCATTGACTCTTAAGGTAAGCAGAGAAAAAGCACCTAGGATACTTCTTATGAAGGAAAAAAGCAAGAGAAAAAAGGGCATGGACCTGCTCCAAACATTTCAGAATTGGGCAAGAGGAGGTTAGGACCAATAGAGAATTTCAATAATAAAATCTGTTTCACTGAATTTTGAGAGGATTAAGTGATTTGTAAAGTGTTAAGTGCTTTACAAATATTAAGGCTGGGGTAGTACAGTTGTTAACATCATGTCATTCTTACTATGGTGGGTGTAATTTTCACATATGCAATCAAAACCCCCTAGTCTAGTTTCCCCTGTCCCATCCCAGGCCTTACTCTTGGGACTTGTCTGGCCCTCAGGCTCAGGCACCTTCCAGTCCATCTTTCGGCCTTTTTCGTAAAGGCCCTTGAGCACTTTGTGGAAGGACTCAGGTTCAGTGCCATTTTTGCTTAGTTCCAGATACTTTCGGTAAAGCTGAAGAGCTGTGCGGGCATCCTCAATACTGTCGTGGGTCTCCCCTTGAATCTTCAGGTCTGGGGGAAGTAGAGGTGGAATAGTTTGGGACCTAGCAAAGGGAGGTAAGAACATGTCCTCTACTCACATCCCCAACTCTCAATAAACCGTAATAAAAAACCCGACTGCCCTTACGAGAAAGAGCCACACATCATCCCTAGTGCAGAGAAGGGATCATGAAACTAATTAAATCCGTCAATAACTCTCACCACTAACTCAGGGTCCTGCCTGCTCCCCTTGGTCTGTTATACTTTTTTACGTTCTTCCTGAGCACCACAAGGGCCTCCAGGGCAGAGCAACTCACCTAGAAAGTACCAAGCAAGGAATCGCAGGGAAATCATTCGTTTTCGGGGCATGTGAAATAGATAAACAGTGTCAAGGACTTGGTCCTTGGGCACCTGCCAGGGACAAAAGAGTAGGAGGCTGAAGGTAGGGGATCCATAATTTCCCATTTTCCCAAACGCATGATGTATACCCTGGAGGGACCACATGCAAAGAAGACTCTTAAAAAAGCCCTGCCCGAACCATGAGGTTGATGACCCGGAAGTCCTTCTGCAGACCATGACCCACAAACTTGACTCCAATGTCTATGAGAAAACGAAGCTTTAAATAGGTAGACTTCAGAGTTGTGAGGTGCTTAGAGGAAATCTTGGCATCAAGGTCTCCTGGCTTTATCCCCGAGTACTGAGTCAAGTAATCCACCACCTAGGGATAGAGAAAAGGGCAAGTCGCCCAGGAGGCGAGGCGCACAGTTCCCCCTGCCACTCTTCCCTGGGTTTTAGGGCACCCTGTATAAGCACAGGGCTTGTTTCATTTGCACCTCCAACATCCTAATACCTGCTCCTGGGTAGAAATGTAGTCATCAATGAAGGGGATGCCCTCATTGGGTCCCTGGCCCCTAACGCAGGTAATCCTCGCTACTGACATCTGGCTAGGCTTGATTGTAGACTTGGTGCCATCACTGCGCAGCTCTGCTTCCTCCTACGTGGAAAGACTTAGTAAGAAAACCAGAGAAATGCTTATGACTCCTAATATCTTCAGAGTTCTGTTCCAACACCCCACCCTTTTGGTCTTGGTTACCTCATTAAGGGTGACAAACTCAGCGTCTAAGCCCACCAGGTCCCCAACCTGTGGCATCTCATTTGGCATCAGTGGAATAAAGGTAGTATGTGTTTTCCGCTGCTTCCGTGCTAGTGAGGCTTCAGCCAGTAGAACACTTGCCTCAATAGGGTTCTTGACTGGAAGGGAGAATCCAGAACACAGACAGCTGGGGAAAGGGAAGGGACCAGGGGAGGGAAGCCAGAGTGTCTGACTACAGACCAGGTCTACACTGTGTTCCCTCAATAATCCAAGCACGTGAGTAAAAAGATCATGTCTGACAAACAGAGGAGATAGATGGAACAGGTCAAATCAGAAACTGATCGGGAAATATGCTAAGAGAAAACAAAAGTCAACAGACAGGTGAGAATAAGATTTTCACTTTGAACTTTAGCTTAGAAAATTCAGAAAAATAAAGTTACAGAGAAATTATGGCTTAAAGATACTAAAAAGGGATTTAATAAGGAGTTTATTGCCAAAAAAAGGAGAGACCTGCACTTGGGGATAAGAATGGCTAGGCTCAAAATCATAATCTTAGCCATTCTGATCAGACTTCTTCTCCATCACCTCTTCCCATACACCCTCAGGATCTCCAGCTTCTAAATTTAAGCCCTGAGGAGCAGAAATCTCTTTACCTGGAAACTGATCACCTGGTAACACTGATAACCAATCCTGATCTTAACAAGCTATTTCTCAGAGCTCTTCCTGAAGACAAATCTAAACTGCCCACACCCTTGGGTCTACTTTGTACCACTTACTATTCAGGTTGTATTTGGAATTAAGATTCCTTTTGATGTAATAAAGGATAGCAGGCACTTTCCAGTTCATGTCAAACTGCACAGCTTCATGCTAAAAGAGAAAAAGCACTCAGTAGCCTACATATATGCCCCCTTTCCCTTCTTTCCCAAGTCAGAGAGAAGACAGGACTCAGGTGCTATTTTTAGCTCTGCTAATGCTTTTTATTACTGAGGACCCATCCCTCCTTCCTGAATCTGCCCGGCATTCTCGGGCACTGAGGATGAGGATGCTAGGAAAGGGGGAGATGAAAGGGGGAATGGAATGTGTTACAACTAACCTTATCAATAGGTTCAATGAGAAAGTCATTGAAGAGATACCACTGCTGGTGGGTAACGCCCTGTGGAGATACAGAGAAAGACTGATACCAAAGTGATGGCTGAACCACTCTGGCTCAGACTCGAGATAAGGACAGACCTGGGACTCCTTTGTGGACATCACCAGGAGTGTCCCTGCCCTGTATTACCTCACTCACCTCTTTGCGCTGGTGGTAGGTCTCTCCAACTTTGATGTGAGCCACCAGGCTGCCCCCTGTGCGTGAGTCCAGGATGTGTACCACAGTAGCCATCAGGTCATACACATAGACACCATGCTCCTCCTCTGCCCTGGCTGGGCCCCACTGTGAGGGGGGTACCCAGGCTGCTAAGCTAAGTTTGAGGTTGGGGAAGGAAGGGGAAGGGGGATAGAGGACAGGGAGTTTGGGGTATGGGGACAGGGGACCAGGGTAGGGACTCTCCATCCTAGCCCATCTGTGACTCCCAACCCTGAACTGAATCACTCTGGAGAAGCCCACAACTGGTGAATTACTAGGCCTTATTCCTCTTTTTTCCTATCCTAAGTTCCACCTTCCCCTTGCCCTGCTTCTGCCCCGAACTTTTCTCCCTCATTCCCCCTCCTCTTCCCAGTTTTTCAACAACCTGCATCTCATCCCCATCAGTCCAATTGCAAACATCCAGCCCTTTGTTCTTAGTCATCTTCATTCGAAGGGAGAAAGGAAGCCAGACATTCTTCAACTCCTCAATGGAGGGACACATCAGCATGCCCTCTGGACTCCCTAGTTCCTTCCTATCAGGATGAAAGAATTAGAAATTTGTCCTGAGGAGATCTAGCCAGTGACAAGAGGAGCCACTGGGTAGCTCAATCCTGTGAGTGCTCCACAGACAGTAACCTACCAATCAGCCAAAGCAAACTCCTTGCTCTTGGAGATCTCCCCACCATGCTTTTTTATTGCCATCTTGAAGGCAACCTGAACACAAAGGAGAAAATATCCAATTCCTCAGGAGCATCAATCATACATGGAGGTCAGAAGAGGAAGAAAACTACAAAGTACTCCTAAAGGTCCGTTTTCAGCCCCAGTCCTTACCTCAGCCTGCATTCTCCAGAAACCAGCTTCTTTCAGGCTATTCACCTCACAATTGATGACAAGAATATCTGGCAGATGGCGGATGTTGCGGGTCTGAATCTGAGAAAATAAAACAAACGAGGAATGGCAGGGAGCCTATAGGAAAAGAAACCCCAACAGGAACAGGTAAGCCTGAATCTGTATCCTCAAACTAGGGTTCTTCCCACTCCCCACAGATCTCTGGATGGCAGTGCTGACCCAGCCAGTCCCAGATGAGACCATGGCCAAGTCCCCAACATGGCAGGACTCTAGTCCAGTGCAACAGCCCACTCACCGTGGGCTGGTACTTCTCACAGTTGTCACACCAGGCCTGTGTATTCTGCTCCAGGCAGATGCTTCGCTTCAGCACCTGAGCAAAGTCACAGTTCTTCCCGGTTTTATCTGAGGGGAAACTGAATGCTTCACTCCAGGTCCTCCCTGTACCCACCATTAGGTCCCCAACACCCTTTCCCTGATGTTACAGGACACTCGGGGGAGCCTCCCCAACCCAGCTGCGGGGTATACCACTGTTGCTACCCTCAGGGTAGGAGAGTGTGAAGAGGAGGGTGGATGAGGCTCGCACGGTCTCACTGCCACAGCGGCAGAGGCTGCAGTTTTCCATCTCACAGCTGAACAGCTGCCCGATGACAGAGTCCCCCGATGAGCAAAAGCTGCTAAGAGTGAGGAGGGCAGTATATGCACACTGAGGGATTTAGGAGACCCAAAAGTCACCAAGGGGCCTGTCACAATGGCTTTAACTATTCCTGTCCCAATTCCATACCTGCCTCCAGCACCTCGATAAGCCTGGGGTACTTCCAGCTCCTGCATATCTTGATGCAGTTGAGTGAGGATGAAGCGATTCCACCTCTGAATGAGCCTGGCCAGATTGCCCTTGCCTGAAGCCTCATCCGAGTCAGCCAGAATCAGACCAAGGGCTGAGGCCTCAGGAATGGTGCGGAACGCCCGAAGAAAGTTACTGCCCTGGAATCCAGGAAGTGTGTTGGTGAAAAAGGGTTATTTTCTCTTTTGTGGCCATTTATAGAGTGCTGCCCTGCCTACTGTCCACCTCCCTTCTGCTTTATTGTCCCAGGTCTCCAGGCACTGACCTGACAAGGGTCACCTCGGGAGAGGTCCAACATGTGGAAGAGGAAGCCCAGTTCGCATGCCAGGCAGAATTCCTTTTGGCAAAGGTGGTTCTGGATTAGACAGCGAACAGGCTCCAGGAAATAGAGCACCTGGAGGGAAGAGCAGGAGAAATGATGCAGGCAACTGTGCAGAGGAAGAGGGATGGGAAGGTTAAGAAAGCCGGTGGGGGGGGGACAGGGTATAGCTCAACTGGTAGAGGCATGCTTAGCATGCCTGAGGTCCTGGGTTCAATCCCCATACCTCCATCAAGTAAATAAATAAAAACACTTCATTACTTCCCTCAAAAAAAAAATTTAAAAAGAAAAGCCGGTGGAGAACACAAAGCAGAAGTCCACTGAAGAAGGAAAGTTTACAGGAGACCTGAAGACCACGGGGCAAGAAAGAATGGTAAAGAAAGCTAACGTGGGCTTGTTGGGGGGTCTGAAAAAAGAGTAAGGGTTGTGGGCCACAGGGAAGAAGAAAAGCAGTAGGCGTGTTCAAGCCGCAGGAAGACCCAGGCTTACCTGGATCATGCAGTTGCAGTAGGCATTGGGGATGTGGGGCTCTAATCCAGCAAATAGTGTCTTATTGTAGTGTTTGAAGTCAAAGTCCTCCAGCCCTAGCTTGGAGTATTTGATGGTCACCTGAAGCAGAAACAGTCTGAGCAAGATGAAGATGCCCTCTGAATCCCTTAAATCTTTGCAGTAGCCATAACCTTCCCCAAAACCTCCTTCCTGAGTTGAGTGATAGGTGAAGACTTCTTGAATGAGGCCTTGAATCCTTCCCCATATGACTCTCCTTCCCTGGGAAACTTTCCCCACATCCCAGGGCTCCTTCCTTGGTATCCCCCAGCACCTTGCGGTATTTCTTAGAGACCATGTGGAGATGTGGCTCCTCTTCCCGCCCTATGGGTGACTCAGTGACCTGGCTGAAGCTGTCAAATTCACTGTCGGACTCCTTGAGTCGGTAAGGAATCTAGGGTTTTTAAAAAGAGGTATCCTCATTGGCTGTATAATCATCTTTGGTTTCCCCCCACCTTTATCTCAACATTGAAAGAGTCACCGAGTCCTAAACCTTCTAACTTCACGGGTTTTCAGCATCCACTGCTTCCTTTTCATTCCCGCTGCCATTGCCCTATCTCATCACAGCTGGACCACGGCGATGGCTTCCACACTGGGCCTCCACATTCACTCTGTCCAGCATACCACCACCAAACTCACTCTCCCAGAATGGCCCTTCTGCTGCATCACTTCTTCCATATTCAAGGCTTCACAATCAGGCCCTTCCCAAACTTCATCTCTTGCTGTTTCCCAATACTAACAGCTGCTCCAGCATAGTCCCCGTCAGATGCACCTGACGATAAGCCTCCTGAGACCTTTACTAACACCATTCTCTCATCTTGAAAGGCTCCCCTGTTACTGTCTACCTACCCATCTCTCACCTTGCTAGCTCAACATCCACCTCTTTCAGTATGCTTTCCCTGACCACTGTAGCCCAGAGTAGTATCTTCCCTCTAAATAGCTCTGGCACCGAATGCTTCTAACATTCCTTTAGCATTTAACAAGAGTAAGTAATTTCTGTTATGGATAGGCCTTATCTTCGCCAACCAAATACTGAACTTCTTAAGAGCAAGGACCCTATCTAAGTCTCTGAATCCTTGCTAACACCTCATATAGTACCTTCAATTCAATAGGCTTCAAAAAAATCTTTTTTGACTGACTAAAAAAAACTACTGAGGACTACTAAAGGAAAAAGACAGAAATGCCAGTGAGTTGAGGTGGAGGCTGACCCTCTTCCCCCCTGAACATACCTGATTGCGCAGCCTGGTGCGGGGGTTGGGCGCATAGCCAATGAAGCCCACCTTCTTCATGGTGCGCAGAATCTCTGCATCCACAGGGGGTGCTCGCCTGTAATGCAGTACAGTTCTAGGGCTTGAAGGTAGTGGTGTCTGCCCATCCAATCCCCAATCCCCAAGGGGCCAGAAAAAAAGAAAATACTAAAGCTAGGTAAAAATAAGGAAAGAAGTAGGATAGTAACAGAGATCACAGAGAACCCTGGTGTTTCAGCCCTTCCCCCACCCCCCTTCTTTGGGCCCAGAGATGAGGTACAACCTGGGAGCCGGAGCAGAGTTGGCAGCAGGCCAATCGGAGAGAAGCGTGTCAGTGGTGAGCGGGACAGGGATGAGGGAAAGAGGCAGCAGGTCCTGGCTCCAGTCCAGAGGAGGCAGTGAGTCCACGAGACAGGGCAAAGCAAACTCGGTCTCACGGGAGTAGGGGTTGAAGGAAGGTTCGGGGGAATCAGTCCAGAGGTGCACACAGCCCTCAGAATCCCCAAAGGCCAGGGCCTGCTTGCTGGCTGACACATCAAACGTCATCAGCAGAGGCCCCACAGGATTCACATGAAAGATGTCCGCTGGGTTGGCCAGGCCTGTGGGCTCACAAAACTGGCACTGCCCTAGGAGGGAGGAGGAAGCCCACTGAGCCCTGGAAAGTGAAAAGGAGCCATCCTTTTATGCCCTTCCTACCCTCTTCTCCTGGTATCAAGGAAAGACAGGCCCCCAATCCATGCTTAGAGATAGGAAAACATATTATCTGATGCCTTCCCATAAACCACAGGGGGATTTTCTATCCAGCAAAGGGCAGTTCTGAAGTTGTTTTGCCTGCTCCACCTTTTTTTTTTTCCTGTGTTCTTCACACCCAGGGAGAAAATAAAAGCTATAATCTCTGAGCAAATCTAAGTGAGACCCTGAGACCTCTCAGAAAGGTTACTTTCTCTCCAACAAAGAAATTCCAGGGAGTATACTCTGGCGCCTTCTACCCGCTCCTTCAACCCCTTCATACCTGACTGGGAGATAATAGCGAGACGAGAGGTATATGTAGGGATGAAGCGCAAGAAGGCAGGATCCACGTGTACTTGAAGTGGCGTGATGGCACGCATCATGCGCAGGTCATACACCTTGAGGAAACGGTCACAGGCCAGGCCGGTGAGGCGGCTGGAGAAGCCACAGGCAGCCAGCAGGTTGCCGTGCACATCAAAATCCGACAGGCTCCCTGAGAAAGCATCAAACTCATGCTCCACCTTAAAAGTACGGAGGTCTCGAAGGGAAACCTGAAGAGTTGAGAACTTGGTTATCTGCCAACGCTGTTATCAGGAAGAGGAACTGACATCTACCTAACCCTGTGAGGCTCCTACTAAAAGAACTAAGGTTCTAGAATACAGGCAATTAAAGCACAGAAAAGGCAAAATGAGAAGCCAAGGGCTGGAAGGGACCCTAAAGAGAACTCTCATTTATCCTGTTGCCTCCAAGGTACCCATTCACAACAGAAAACATCAGGCTGGAAGATAATCTTATAGTGTAACATGACTGAGAAGGAACTCAATTCATTCCTCCCACCCCTCCAACTAAAGCCCCAGAATTGAGGGAAAGACAGAGCCCAATCACGTATCTGTGAAACAGGGTCCTATGGTGGGAGGAAAAATGGAACTTCGCCACCTTGCCAGATGTATGGCCACAGAAGAAGAAGCGATTTGTCTGCCTCATAATAGTGACTCCAGGCGTCTCAACTGCATACTGGGGAGGGAAGCGGAAGGAACCAGTGAGAATGATTCTTCCCACAGACCAAAGGAACAGAAAGGTCACACACACATCACTGGCGATTCCAGCCCGGGTATACTCCCCACTAACAACCTCAGGCCCCGCCTGGGTCCTGCGTGTACCTTCTGAGTCTCCTGGACAGTGTTAAGGTCAATCTCCAATATGTGGTTCTGCAGCCCACCAACAAGCAGAGTGCTGCTGTCAGTCAGCAGGAGACTGTGCATATCCTCACTCTCATCCAGCCTGTGGGAGAGGAAAAGCTGACGGGCCAGAGTCTCACAAGTTTCCAGTCGTTTAGCCTTCCCACTCTATGAGGGACCCTCTTTCCCAGTCCAGAAGTGAGAAGCCACTCACAGGTAATCAAATATAATGAGACCCCCACGGGTCATATACTTGAGGTTGTTCTTTGTGAGAAAAAGGATGCCATTCTCCAGGCTCTGGATCTGCCGAATGTCATCACTGCCATTGACTTGAAAGGATGAGTAGCGCTCCAAAGCTGGGCCAAAAAATGAAGTGGCATGGCCCTGTAACAGATGAAAAGATGAGACACCTTGAGTGGAGGGGAAGGGCCATCCCAGATACAAATCAGAGACTGGACGTTGCTCAGTTTTTCTCCATTCTTGCCTGGCCTTTCTGGCTGGCAGTGACCAAGGTATAAGGCTGGGCACCAATGTTAGTGATAAAGACACTGATAATATTATCTTATGTTTGTTTAATACTTTACAGAGTACTTTTGTAAACTCTACTTCATTTTATCCTCACAATGACCCTGCCAAATAGCTAATGGCTCAGTTGGTTAAAACAGTGTTCAGAAGGTCAAGGACACAGGTCCAATCCTCTATTGGCCAGCTGGCTTTCTTATGTTCCACAGTCAAGTCTAAATCCATGTGGCAAATGTATACGGTGGGTCAGACTACAGCAGAGAGAATGTGAAACTCATTCCACCCTTGGCTCCTATGACATCATTCACTCCTGGTTTCACTCCTGACTCTTAGCTCATACCTTCTCCTTATGTGCAACCCTTATGACCACTCTTGAAATATGGCTATTCCCAGCCCACTATCTTCTCACTCTACTTGGTCTTCTTAGGTAATCTCACCCCATCTCAAGTTTTTAACCTTTCATCTTAAAGCTGATGAATCCTAATTTCCTTCCCTAGCCCGAACCATTGCCTCAAGCTTCAGACTTACACATCCAAATTTCTACTAAACATCTCTCCTTGGATATCCCATAAGAACCCCAACTCCCCACATCCTAAATCAAATTCACCATTTCAATTCTTCCTAATTATATTCCCTATGGTACCATGATCTAGCCAGGAGTAAGTCACTGGTAGCTGACTTAAGTCTTATTTATTTACTTCCTAAATATTTCCCAAATCAGTTCTCATGAATAAATCTCTACAGTGCTTCATTCAGGCCTCCATCGTATTTTATGTGAATTCCTACAATATCCCACAAACTGACTTGAATCCTGACCCATCCCCCTTAAGTCAAACTGTATACTGCTACTTCAGCACTCCACCCAAAATGCAAACCAGACCTTGCCATTCTGGATAAAAATC